AAGGTGTGTGCACGTCCAAACCTAGGAAAGGGTGAATATCAAATGTATCTTTATTTGCAAGCTGCGGCCCAAGCTAAGGCTTCCCAAAGTACTGCTACCCATAGCTTCTGCTTCAAAGTTCCAACATGTCATACCTTTATCCTGTTGAAATTCTTTTCTGTAGAACTGTATTTTTTAATGCAAAAGATTACTGAAACAAAATGTTGTGGGGAAAATAGAGTATTAAATAACAGTCACCATAACTGATAAAAGGTGCACTTCTGACAATATTGATACACAAATTTGTTAATTAAAGTTTTGGTTCCAGCTTGAGCCGGTAAAAAGATTGACCAGAACTGAAGATTGTATGGACCAAACTGAAATTGCTGTGTAATTTTTTAACTTACCAGTAATTTTGGGTGATAAAATAATGCAAAATTCAATGCACACCTTAGTACAAGAATGAAATCAATTAGATTAAGTTTACATACCATACAGAGATCTCACTTCTTGTTAGTTTCAGAGAAAGGGATTTTCTTAAATCTTAATCAGCCATGTTTTAGGCAATTTTCTTATACACTGGAAGTGAAGAGATGAAGAGAGGCCATCAACCCCCCCTGGTTTTTAACCCTTTTGGCCATAACTTCTAGACCATTCATCCGATCAAAACAAAATTTTCAGAATGCATTGGTGACACCTGAACCTACATAATGGTGATACAGACGAACATTTACCATTGCTATGGCAACTGTATGACATCATTAAATAAAATTGCAATAAATTACTGGTATATGAAATTAGCCAATTTATTATTGACAAATACCATCTCAGATGTGATTTTAAACATTTTATGATACAAGTTGACAGTACTAGTACCGGTACATTAAGAAATTCAAAATTGTGTTACCATGAAGACTATGTGACATCATATTGGGTCATAACAATGTCACAAACCTAAAGAATAGCGTTCATTCATGAACACATTTTCATCTTAAAACAAATATTTTTCTTAAAAAAGCTTATATGCAAGATTGCTGGATCATAGAATGTTTCACAGATAACTTTTTACATGTAGTTGCCATGGTAACTCCGACTTTTTAGTTACTATGATAACTTTTATACTCTTCAAATTTATACATGTCTTTAACTCTGCATTTACTAATGACTGGTTTTAAAAACAGTTTTTCATTTCCAATTACTCCATACAATAAATAGCATGGACGTGATCTTGAAAAGGATGACGAATGAGGCGTAAAAAAACAGCTGTGGTTCCGGTTTCATCTCGTGAAAAAATTAGGGTCGGTAGGTCGGAAATAATTTTTTTAAAAATATTTTTCATGTTTTTTTTCATGGTGACAACAGATGCCATTTTGGTAGCAGCCTGCAACCACCCAGAGAAAATAGGGTTGCACAGTCAATCGCGTTGAAAAAATAATAGGGTCGGCAAAAAAAAATAGGGTCGGTTGGGAACCGGAACCACAGTTATTTTTTTTACGCCTGAGCAACTTCTGATGGGGCCCAGTGACTGGTGGATCAAGTTTTGGGTGGGGGTATTACTTACTGAACATGAAACATTTCAATTGCTAATTAATCTTTTTCCCCAAAAATTGTTTGCTGGGGGGTGGGGGGAAGTCGTGGTGGGGCATATAAAAAAGTTCCAGACAGATCATTTTTCAGTAACTTTCGAATTAATATTTTCATAAATTTAGATTTTTAAAATACAAATTTAATCTAGAATTTTTAAAATTAAAATATATATTTTTCCTTGACTTTAGCTCTGTTATCTTATAATATGATTTCAATTTCTGTGCTTTATTTCAATTTCTGTGCTTTGCAATCAAAATTGTTTCTGCAAGCATGAATGTTCAATTGTTTTAAAAAAAAACCCCAATACCAGCCGACAATTTCAAAAAATATAGTACAAAACATAATCCGAAGATTACATCTTGAAACCCAAAATATGAGTCAAACAAGAAAGTGAGTGAGTAATATTTCGATTTTATTACAAAATCATCACCAGACTGATGTTTTTTGTGTAAAATTACAAACGTAAGGCAATGTAAATATAGAACAATTTTTAATGACGATTCACAACAGCACAGTAAGCTCCCGGCTCATGTTAGCAGCTTGTCAGTCTATTGCTTCAGGTATCCCAGGATATGGTGGAACTGAAATGATGACAATTATCAGGACTTCCGTGTCCTCATAAATGAACCAAAATGCTGTAATGATATACATCAGGACTGATTGATCTTCAGTGCTTACTTCAAACTGTTACCTATATTCAAGCATAATGTGTTAAATATTAATTGTACTGTAAGACATTTTTAGTCCAGGGCATTTTTTAGGCCATCTCATTGGCTGACTATGGAGATTTTACTCTCCAGAGGTTCAGAGAGTCAAATTCATGTGTTAACCAAACTATCTGCGAAATTCTTGTTAACCCATTAAGTTTCAATGAGCCCAGGCTAGGAGCACCTGACTAATTTATCATCTTACTCTGTCTAATACAGAAGATTTTTCTTGTCAAGGGGAGAGTGTTGCACATAAATGGGTCAATGTAGTAATTTTGTACTACTTGTATTTGGTTCACGTTGCTCAAGATTCATTAGTGTGAGTTGCCACATACCTGTACTTTGGTTTATCGTGACGTTAATTATGTTACCAGACCTTGATTTATCAGGACTGCTCAGTGATTCAAGGTGCTTTTTTAACCCACCTAATAAACAAAAATAAATGACAAATCTCTGTTTCGTGTAAATATTACATGCCTACTTGTAATAAAAGTAACAATAATTACCGTCCAGCACTACATAAGCAAGCAATACGTAACATAAACTTAACATGCTTGTCCTTTAAATACTGTTTCTTGTCTTTGAAAAGGGTGAATGCAGGCGTGTGTAGGTGCGCATGCTCCAACAAGGTAATTTTCAGACAGTCTGCACTGTCATATGTTTGCTTTGCAATAAGCATACTAAACTCATTAGCTTATTGCACAATTGGGCAGTTTGAGCTATTTATTCTGCAATGGGCAACTTTTCTCTCCCAACTGTAATATTATCTTTTCATGTTCAGGTGTAGCGATGGGATGTACACTAGAGCAACCATTCATGAGCACTGAAAGAGGAGTCTATATATGTGCTTTTCATTCAGGTAAGACATGGATGGATTTACTGGGGGAGGGGTGCAAAGGTGTGTGCATCTCCAAACCTAGAAAAGGGGTTGCCAATCCCCTTATCAAGTCTATCTTTATTTCAAAGCAATCTAATTATAGTTGTGATCACTATAAAATATATCATCAACAATAATATAATCTAATTAGCACCAACCAATCAAATGATAGATTAAAAAATCTTTTGTGTCACAGACCAATCATATTTACAACCGAAATACGGTTGTAAGGCATGGACTTTTGTTAAGGTTTGTATCAGGCCTATTTATTTATTTATATGCCTGATCGTAGGTTAGGTGCACTGGGACTTGTTTTCAGTTTGAGCTCAGATTTGTTGAACTTCTGGTTCCTGCCTGAAGTAGTTAAAAGATTGGCCAGAACTGAAGATTGTAATGTAATAAATTATGTGGGTTGGACATAGTGTGCCTGTCAATGTTAAGCCCCAGGGTGGGGCGACGTGCAAACCCAGGGGCATTTGACATTTTTCATTGAGGTGATGTTAAATTTCCCACCCTCAGGACGATAGTTCACTGTCAAATAAGAAAGAAAGCACCTCCCTGAAACGGGAAACCATTCATGAATCAAACTGATACTGTAATAACTTTAATCAACATCAAATATATCTTGGATATTGATTTACCCTATTGACATAGACGTCAAATGCATCATTGCGATTCTGTGCAAGTTTCTCGTGATTTTATATCTTACCATCTTCCATACACAAACCATTTTATAGAGTCGATGGTAGAAATAAATGTGAATGAGCTTGTGCCAAACACCCATTTTGTAGATCAACCCTGTTTTAAGCGAAATTTAATACAAATATAAAACTCATAACTTTACCTTCAATGTTGAAAATCAGAAACTTCAGGTTCATTTAGCGTTTATAAGGGATTTTTTTCAGTCCGCCATGTTTTTAGCCAATCCGCTAAAGAGGCCATCACCCCCTGAAAAAATATTTAAAATTTAATGTTCCAGGGGGTGATGCCTCTCTACCGGACTGGCTAAGAACATGGCCGCCAGCTATTTTTGTAAAAACTAGAACTCTGTAATGTACCTACTATGTGTCACTGTCTTCAGCACGATGCGCGGTCGCGAGGCCTGGTGACGAGGAAAGCACGATGGAAAGTCAAATATCCCCTCTCTGCCTCTGGGGGAAGGTGGTTGATGTCAAATTTCCTATCGCATGATACTCGAACAACGAGGGGGAAAGGTCCCTTCTGCGCATGTGCCTGGCGTTTGTTTATGTTTTGATACATTACACATGTTATAACATGAAGTATTGGCATTTTATCAAACATGGCGATAGAAATGTGCGAAACTTATAGTTCACTTTTTTGTGTGGTGGTACCTGCTTTTTATGAGAAATATATAAACTTTTGACATGTACAAGTTTGAATAATTACTTTTGGACCGCATAGCGTGATAAACACGCTGAATCATGCATGAAGTATGATCAACCGACGAATATGAAATGCTCGATTGCTCTTTACTCGGCGACAAGGCGATAAGCTGACAATATTGAGTACACAACTGTAAGTTTAATAGTTTATATGTTGTTTGTTGTTGATGACAGCATTAAGGGACCATCAAGTAATCAGATGCGTTTGATATATTCATTTAACCAATCAGATGCGTTTGATATATTCAATTAACCAATCAGATGCGTTTGATATATTCAATTAACCAATCAAATGCGTACTAAGCCAGTTAGAGGAAGTGCAGTCAAATCTGAACCTCTATATTGGTGAACCTCCGGTACGTAAGTATGCGCGATATATCGCACCCGGTGTGTAGCTCGTATGGACAGTAGATTAACTTAGTCATGCTGGTGTTCGCGTAACTCTACTGTAGCTTTTCTGATGCTAAAGCCACTGATTTATTTTATTCTAGGCCAGCTGAAGATTTATTAAACCATGTTGCTGGATATGGCCTGAAACGTCATCGCAGTCGGTTTGTTGCAACTTCGCAGGATCAAGATCTCAATTTCCCTCGGATAGTGATAAGGGAGCGGTCATTAATTATTAGGGGGGGAGGGCCGGTAAAATATCTAAAACGAGGGCCCAAAAATGTTGACCCCCTTTCAAATTAGCGCCCAAAAATTTTAGCCCCCCACAAAATAATAGCCCAGAAAAGTGTGACCCTCCCCTTCCTTAGATAGCTTCCTTCCAATCGGTCAAGCATCAAACAGCGACATAATTTCGTGAATAAAATATGGCTATATAGTATAAAACACTCTATACATGCATTAAATAGTACATCATTTGAAATCTACCAGATCTTGTGGTCTGCAAAAGGTTGGAAATCATCACCTTCATAAATTTGTCCTTCGTCGTCGTCGGAATCAATATCATCCTCATCACTTCCAATCTCCTGCACGACAACATCGTCGTCACCAGAATCCTGGTTGTTACTATCTCTGTTAACTTCAGAAAGTTGACGGTTATCAGGGACTAGCGACTTTGCTATGTCAAGTGATACGATATCGACTTTTTCTTGCTTTAACGCCCCTTTCGACTGCTTCAAATTTCTCATTGATATATACATGTCCAATACAACAACTTTCAGTTTCTTTATTTTTCCTTCCCTGTAAATAGCTTTCCAGTTGTAATCTTCAAAGGTCTTTCTCTTTTCTTCCAGATTTGCGCACTTTCTGCTATCTTCCCTCTTTTTTTTCCTTCTTTCTAGTTCGCGAAGATGTTCCAGGTACTGTCTAACCAGCCTTTTTTCCACCACATACGTTTTGCAGAACTCTTCCACGTCGTCATCGTCATTCATATATCATGTTGGTCGATACTGGGAAACCTCTGGATGTATACCTTACTGTCAACCAATATGTGACTCAGACTGATCACGTATATGTTTTCATACTACAGACCATATATTTGTAAGATTTCCGTTTGTTAGATTTTATTGTACCGCATATTATTGACATGAAACAATGTACACCATATTGCTGAAATTAGCAATGAACTTTACAGGCTCGGCAAGTGAGGAAATATATGAGTATCAACTAGTTGTTATACTTGACATTACATGTATAAAATATGATTTATTATCGTTGGTGAAAGAAATTGTTCTGGTGTTGGTGAAATAAATTTCGTTTTAATTATCTCTGCATGGAAGCCTTCATTCATTATCCGTGTACGGGCCCATTGAATTGGTCATTGAAATATAACTTTTTTTACTGAAATAGTTGCCCAAATATTTGTGGCCCTCCCTTCTAGATGGGCACAAAAATATTTGGCCCTCCCCAAAAGGGGGTCCAAAAAATGGTAGCCCTCCCCCTAAATTTACCGGCCCTCCCCCCCCCCAATAATTAATGACCGCTCCCTAACGATATATATATCTAGAGCAATTGTTTCACAAACGTAATTGGTAGGCCATAGTCTACAGGCTATACAGGGTGTATCAAAAAAAGCGCAATCCTCGACTGAAATGTAAATTGCTAAACAAATAATAGACGAAAACGTTAAAGTTTACATTCATTTTAAAGCGTAGCCATTCAGCTTTCTAACAGTGGGTTGTTTCTTAAATTTGACTCATTGGTTTGGGGGTAATAATACTTTACGTTATTGCGATTGGAGATTAAAAAAATTGAGATGGAATAACAAATCGTTCTCATGAAAATAACTGATTTTTTCATTAAAACAAAAAATATTGCATTTTATTAAATGGATTGTAACAATAAGTATAATTACGGCTTTTCTTCCACTATTTTAACTCAGTTTGAAACTTCAAATGCGATATAATTTTGGCTTGGACCATCTAAGCTGACTGACATCAACTTGCTATAATTTCTGTTTACATTACATCGCAATTCGATGACACTCTGGCTCAGACACCAGAATATTTTGACGATTTTTGGCATTCGTTTAGGATTTTCAAACAACCTGGTCTCTTTTAAAATACTTTTAATTTGTTCTTACGTGGTTTTCCAGATGTAGTGACGACAACATTAAAGTTTAAAGAAGAAAATTCTAACATTTAAATCGACTAAACAATAACATAGTAAACTTGCATAATTAAACAGCAACTAAAAATGATAGGTTTTACTAAATCTTTTCCTGTGCAATTATTACTAGCATTGGAGACAAGGATAATAGTTTGTTTGAAAGAGAAAAGAACAGGCTTTGAAGTAAGCCTAAAAGCGTTTAACTAGAAATAGTATTTCGAAAGTTATTAAGCACAAAAGATGAATTGCGTTTATTTTGATACACCCTGTATAGTCACAGTGAACCTTCGAATTCGACTCGATCAGGTTTGAGTTGCTTCGTTTCCAACACAGCTCTCAGCTGTAATGAAACATGATTAGCACCACCTGACAATAACAATCATACAACTTTCTTTATTTCATTTACAGATATACAGTAAATTCATTTTTAGAAGTGATTGTCAGTGGAGTAAAAACTTCTGTACATAAACACAGATATATTATTTATGAAAGCTAATAAATTGTAACCGAAAGAATTTGAAGAAATTACGCCATATACAGCAGTAATTTGTTAGTGTCTTTAATTCCCAGCTCCATGTCTGATATGTCTTTGTGTGGGACATGGGCTCTGGTAGTATCCTAGTCCTACGCATACCTACTGAGGTGTTCCTCGTGTGGGGCCATTAAATTGAAGAAGTTCACAACTTTGGTAAAAATTCCTCTCAAAACACAGAAAATGCTCTTCCTGAGGCTTCGGAAAGGCAAAATGTTCCTGGAAAAGCATGCCCCCAGACCACCCCGGCCCAAACACATAAAATTTATCAGTCAAAGTTGTAATTAAGGCAAATTTATTATTTAGATATAGTGATACATTTATATAGAAAAATGTATAAGAATGAAGCTATTTTTACAAAAAACAAGTTTTGGTACAAATATATACTGGATATGTAATTACCCCCTACCCCAAGCACCCCGCCCTTCAAGTAGACAGAATACTCAATGTGTAATAACCCCTCCTTTGCAACGGTTATACCCAGCTGCAACAGTTTTACAGTTCATTAAGAAAGCTAGTCTGTTAAAAACGTCTCTCCCATTCAGCTGTGTTTGTATATCAGGCTGCTTAGACGATGTTTCTCCGTACTCGTCATCTGTGCTCATTGTGTCATCCATGTCTATACTCGAGTCTTCCACATTTCCTCTGCCCATAAACGCCATTATGTTCTCACTCAAACTTCTGCCCTGCCATGTGGGTAGGCCAGCAGAAACCATCTCAACTCGGTTCATCAAATCTCCCACACTGGTTTTGCAAACTGGTTTCAACTTGGCGAAGACACACTGGGCTATGTAGGCAAGGAGTGTGCAGAATGTAGCAAAGCACAGCGGACCCGGCAGGATTACCAACAATGTTGTCAAGCCGAGACCAATGATTGTGCCTTGAATGAACAACAAGCCAGTGAGCATCAAGAGGAAAAATCCGAGTACGATCGCCAAGAAGATGGCCACTGGGATGCAACTGCTTACAAGGAGTAAACCAACGAATAAGCTTGTGTTGGGTCGCTTTTCAATGAACTGACGCGCAACGTTTGTCATTTCCATTTCTGAGAATTTCTCAACAACTTCCAACAACGACAAATAATTTCGCAATTAAAATTATTACGTCATTAATCCAAATTGCCACGTTCCTAAATGAGTGTCGCGCGTGTACATAAATGTCAGTGTCTCGCCACAGAATAGAAAATAGACCAGACGTCTCACTGTACACCTTTCCCTAACATTTTCGTGTCCGCGATTTTTGCCTTGTGGATCACGAATTTCGCACGCTAGAATGCTAGATGACGTATGTGACACTTGCTGCGAACATCACGACAGCGTTCGTCGGCGTCAATTCCTCAAATCAACGGTTTTTCTTGAAATTCGCAAAACATGCTCAGAGTGTACGCTGCATATTCTGCAATTATTGTGCAAATATTTTACGCTTTTGTTTTTTACGTTGTGTCTTTCTGTTGCGATGACCCATTATTTGGACCTGTGGCATTTAAAAACGGTTAAAACAGCAATCTTTATTACCTAGTGATGGCAATTGATGGCGTTGCTTGCGTTTGATGGCGTCGTGATTACACTTGCTGGCTCGCGCCATAGGCAGCCCAGCAAATGTGTAAAAATGCATTAAACGCTTTAAAATACGTATAAAGTTCGTCTCAATTTGCTATCAAGCGATTTATTTGTGTAGCTCATTATACATGCAGATTCCGATGTTTACGTCATTGTATTTTCATAGGATAATATACTATATGAAAATACAAGAAGCACTGCCAATATGGACTTATGGATACCAAACTATAAACTATCAATCACCAGGAGTGGACTTCGGTACACTGGAGCATCTTTTTATAATAAGTTGCCACCAGATATTAGATCTTCCAGCTAATTTCAAGCATTCAAGCGTAAAGCCCATGAATTGTTTTTGGATATGTACAAAAATAACTCATAAGATGTACAGTGTATGTTAATTCCATTTTTTTTATACCTATATCGATATGTACTTTATGTAATTATGTATACTGTAGTCTGTAGAAATGTAAATTGTACTGCATGTAAATATATTCGATTATATAGTTAACTTTAGAAGGTCCAGTGGAAGATTAGCGAAAGCTAAACTGGCATATTTCCTTGTAAATTAACCTTCTTTAAATAAAGTTTTAATAATAATAATAAAAAAGGTCTACTGTAAGTGTATCCGATCGATGTTTTTCAATTTTTGTACATACATGCTCATTTTCAATGGTGAATTAGCTAAACGCTAAATGTAAATGTAGGATTGATGCAACTGCAATCCATATTATTCTGTTAGAGGCTGTTAAGTTCTGGCAAAGTAAAAATTTGTTTTACCCAATCACACAGAAAAAATGTTTCAAAATATATAACTGGGAATCATAAATACTCAATATATTAATTATAATAACCTTAGCCTTAGGTTCTCGATATACCCTGACATACGTCATACAGCTGCAGTGAATTGCACAGTAAATGTGCACAACTTTAACAGAGTCTTTAATAATGAATATGAATATATATATATATGTACAATAAATAACACCATAAAACCACTAAAAAAAAATGCCATAAATCTAAATATACACAGTGGCACACACTTCGCAAAATATTGGAGGGAAGGTGAGGGAATTTATGTTGTCACCATATGACCGCGTTTGCTGCTGGAAATCTTAATTGCCCTAAATTCGATGCAATGTATAACTCGATCTATAGCCTACATGCTTTCATGGTCGAAAAATAATTGTCATATCTCTTTGTGTTACACCAGGCCTTAAAATATCTTTTATAGGGTCGTCTGACAAAATGTCCGATGACTTTGAGTTTGGGTCGGACATATAGTGATGATGTCCGATAACCTTCAGTTCAGTTTGTCTCGGAAATAAGTCCGAATGACGCAAATTAATATCAGCACAATGTATTAATTCTGAACGGCAAATGTGCTGGACCCGGCCGTTAATTTCCAAGCCAAAATTAACGTTATTGCTTGCCAAGAACAGCAGTAAGAGTTCGACAACTTAAGCCCATTTTTCACTTCACCATTTCGTTCGCCGCCCCGCCCTCGATTACATTAAAACAACATTTCCACTTTTTATGCACTACTCTGATTCTCCATTATACGAGCCTCTAGTCCTGGACTAGGGTACATTTTGATTTACGTTAGACAAAGCTACAGTTCGGTCGGACACCAATACACTCGGGTTGGACAAGCAATAAACCTCAGTTGCACTTAAGTCGGACAGAATGTCCGGTGGTTTCCTCTTTACGTCGGACAATTTCACGAATGGGTCGTACAATGTCCGTGACCGACCGATATTTTAAGGCCTGGTTAGACAGTTAAGCGCCGGTCAAATAGAATGATAGTTGAGAGTCACCAATTTTTGTTACTCGGGAGTTTCCCGTGATAGTGCCCCCTAGTAGTGTCCTTTTTTTGCATTTGTATTTACCTTAAGGGCTCTCGACACTTCTTTTCTTCTTGTAATGCATGTGAAAAAGTGGATAAGTTATGAAAGTAATGGAACCCCGTTATTGGAGATTTTATCTCTGTGTGGTCATTGTGTAATTTATAGTTACTGTAACTTTATATCTTTAAGAATGGCAAACTGGTAAAATAAAATAAATGTTAAGATGAGGATATACTCAGAACATTCATCATCCTCGTACCCAGGTTCTCAATCTTCGCTCCTACCTCGCTTAAATTGAGACCCTGGTATCGGCTGGTCACCTGACCCGTCATATTTTGGCGGATTTGTTTTTAGGGAAAGGATAGTAACCGAGATGGTTTGTTTTGTAATGTTATTTTAAGACTATTAATGTTTACTACAATATCACAGAATAAGAAGTTACAGCAGAAGCGTAACTCTAGTCGTTTCCCTTATTGTTTTACGTCCACGAAAATGTTAACTCGCTCACGCCAATCCACGTCATCCTGGCTAGTACAGCCGGAAGTTTTTATCAGGTTTTGGTAGGTACAAAGTGCCGGTTGTACTAGCCAGAATGGCGTGATTGATGACGAATCGTTTGTAAAAACGCGTACAAATACTTGCTTGAGTTACGCTTCTGCTGTAACTTCTTATTCTGTGACAATATCTACTTATAAAACAATTGAGCAAATCCGCTATAATATGACGGGTCACGTGACCAGCCGATACCAGGGTCTCAATTCAAGCGAGGTAGAACCTGGGTACGAGGTTGAACATTCGCAACTCATTTACTCGCTCAAATCCATCAGAGCAAGAAATTCTCACTAGAAATCGCAGCAGAATTGCAAGTGTAAACGGGCAATTACTCATTAGGATCAGACCCTGATGTATGTTATCGAAATTAGTTTCGTGTTATATTCCTAAAAGCACTATTAAGATTCGCATTGAACTGAAATAATTTTTTGCTGTTAAATTACAGCATGACATCCAGTTTGACAACTGCTTGCTAGTGCCACACAGTTGCAGTGTCCGAGTGTTCATTTACTTGATTGTTTGGAGGACATTTTCAACGTTCTCTCGCGTTCCCAGAAAGTAAAATATTTTTTCCACTCTTGATCAAATGTTTTCGAAATTTATCCTCCCCCCCTCCCCCCTAGTGCCACTGTATATAATTATACACACATGTGCTAACTAAAATCTAAAAGACGAAAGCTAAGTATTGACAGTACCAGAGATCTTACTTCGAATGCCTACAGGTTGTACCAAGGCTAAAATGAGCAATATAAACAATGTTATCGCTGCTAATATTTTGAGGATAGATTTCTTGTTAGTCACCGAGGTATTGTCTTTGATGGGCGGCTTTTCCTCTCGTGTTGGCTTCATTTCTGAGTGCTTTGTTCTCTTTCCTAAAGAGACGAAGATTTAAGTGATTTAATATACAGGGTGTCTCAAGGTACTGTTGGAATTTGAATGCATAGCACTATGCTGCACTGCGTTAAGCTTGGTTTCCAGGCATATATGGTCGCAATAATAGAGTCACGATCTTTCTCAACGGCCAGTTTCTAGTTTATACTGTACCTGTAATTGTAAACCACGTACTTTCAGTTTTAAAACGTTGTATTTCGGCTGATGAGAAAGATCGTGACTCAATCTTTGCGACCGTTACGACCATATGGAAACCAGACTTAAAACAAAAAAGTGAGTTTATGCATGACGAAGTTATTTTTGAAACTTAATCTGGTCTCGTCCAATATATGAATTATGTGCTGTTTAAAGGGGCAATGTCACCGATTTTTGGGCAATTCCAACCCTCGCAAATTTTGCCCAAAACTGAAAAAGAATGAGTGTAAGCACAAAATAAAGCAATAACAGACACAAAAAACATGTACAGAAGTCTGGATGGGCAAGATTACGCCAGGATTGAGATGGATTGTAAATGGCATCTTGATTAATTGTTGGCAGACACTTTTTCAAGTTTTAGTCAATTTTTATGAAAATGTCATATTACATGTTTCGTGGAAGTTCAAAGTTGTTTAATATGACTCATATATCATAACTTAATCCATTTACAATGTTTATTTTTAACTTTGTAGTTCAGTTTTTGAATAAACGGTATTTTAGGTAAAAAATCGGTGACATTGCCCCTTTAAGTCTGGTTTCAATATGGTCGTAACGGTCATAAAGATTGAGTCACGATCTTTCTCATCAGCCGAAATACAACTTACATTTTAGAACTGAGCATACGCGGAGTAATTATAGCTAGAGAATGCTCAAGACTTATATGTGGTTTACAGGTGTATAAATTATCATAAATTGACCGTTGAGAAAGGTTGTGACTCTATTTTTACGACCGTATGGAAACCAGACTTTAGTTTAACGCAGCGTGTAAAATAGTAAAATGTCGTTGCTCGATCTATGGTCAGTTGAACCATTCTTATTCCAACTGATGATACGATTAATTTAGTAGTTTGACAAATTTTTATGCAGTTATGAAATAACGCTCTTTCTCCTTCTGACGGGAGTCGAACCTGCGATTCCAGTGCAGCGCACCAACCAACTGAGCCACAGAGGCTAGTTGTCGAGTTCCAACAGCAAGTTCATAGACTGCGAGAGGTCCCTCCTTAGAAGGGAGGAGGGACTGCAGACGATATGTCAAGAAACGAAATACGCGTTGTCCACAACAACGCAAAATTCCGATTGGTTGATATAGTGGATTGAAATAGAATCGCTGGGCCGCAGATTCGATTCCTACCAGATGGCCTATAGCTATACTCTGTAGTTGCATTTTTCGCAACTGCTCCTGGTTATAGGTGTAATAAATGTACGAAATTTACACGTGAAATCTCCATCTCCCAAAACCCTTCGAGAATGAATCTCCACGTACCTAGATACGATGATACTGGTGGCGAGCTTATCTGGTGTAATATTCGGTATTTTGCCAGATCGTCATCTAATGATCCAATGGATTTTGGTTCGGGCGACTTTTTTAACTGGCCATTTACACGACTTTGCTAAAAAACAAGGTAAAGATATCACTAGTATTGTCAAGTGACAATTTTTTCAATGCCGCATATGTATTTGCAGTGAAAAGTGTTTAAAGCTAAGATCTTTTCGGCGTTCCTCTGAAAATTACTTATTTTGTAGATTACACAGTTAATGTAGCAACCTTTTAAAGTGTCTGTAGCGAATGAGAAACACAAAATAAAACACAAGGACGTAGAATGCCGAAACATGCATATCTGCAGATACAGCTAACTCAAAAAAAGGTTGTCTCTAAACCTTAGACCTTAAATTGTTACTTCATTTGCAGTGAAATGTATTTGCATGCAGTGAAAAGTGTTTAAAGCTAAAATCTTTTTGACGTACGTTGCTCTGAAAATTACTTATTTTGTAGATTACACAGTTAATGTAGCAACCTTTCAAAGTGTCTGTACAGCGGTTGAGAAACAGTGAAACACAAAATAAAACACAAGGACGTAGAATGCGGAAACATGCATATCTGCAGATACAGCTAACTCAAAAAAAGTTGTCTCTAAACCTTTATTATAGACCTTAAATTGTTGCTTTAAATCCATTGTAAATCTTGGCTATACGCACAAGGATTATGACAATTAAATCTTTTTGATATTGAACATGGCAAACACATTGTGTTCTGTTGCCCTTTTTGCACTTAGAGTTTAAGGTCAAGGGTTTAAGCCTTTAAGGTTTAGACTTTTGAATGACAACCTTCTTTGAATTAGCTGTATAATATTATACAGTTATTAACATTATTTACTGTATATTTTAACTCTAAATACATGCCCATATATTAAACTGTGTATTCATTAGACGTATTATTTACCGTACCCTTGTCTTAGAGAAGCTAGTTATAATTTCTTTTTCGTTTTTGTTGTATTCCCTAATCATGTTAGAACAGCCAACTAAATGTTCCTCTGGCTCCCATGAGTTTTCATCAGATTTATATCCTCTCCATTTGATGAGAAACTCTACTTTTCCTTGCCTTTTACGTTTTGCCACAATCTTTTCAACCTGTTTGTAGGTAACATATTCAATTAAACCATTAAATGTGGAAGACTCTCCCCTTAACGAGTGAAATTGTCTGGTGTTTTTGTTTCGATGAAAATAATAAAGTGGGGTGCATTGCGGCACATTGCAGCTTAATGGGTTAAATCGACACATTCACTTGGGAGATAGTTTTGATATTGACCAATCACAGGAATGAATGGATTTTTGAATGTAAAAACTGTTACCATAAATTCCTTATACCTGTGAGCTCACTCAGCCGTCAGCTAGCCTTCAAATATCATTCATATGATAAATTAGTACATTTGAACCATGTCTAATATTTGCCAGAGAAAAACCATTAATGACAATTAGTATTTTTGCACAAGTGAACATAACAAATCCTACAAGGTGATTGGTCAAATTTGACATACTAATCTGTTATATTCACCTACAGGTGAATATAACAAAATCGAAATTTTCAATATGGCAGCTAGCCGTTTTGTTGAAATTAGTGATAAAGAAATAAACAAAATTAAAATGAATTCAGACCAGAAAAACACAACAAAAACTTGTGCAAAAATACTAAAACAATTATTTGCCTCAGGCTCGGTGATTATTGGGGAATATTCACCTCGACTTTGTCTCGGCGAATATTCCCCGATAATCACCTCGCCTTCGTCGAATAATTGTTAAATATTAGTGCATAAAAAGTGAACTGGAAATGTTGTTGCAGCGAGCGAAATAGTCAAGTGGAAAACAGCTTAAATTGTCGAAGTCTTCCTACTGTTATTGGCAAGCAAGTAAATTTTGGCTTGGGAATATAAAGTATGAATGACACAAATTATCTCACATCATTTACTGCTCAGAATCAATACATTGTGATGTTAATTTGTGTCATTCAGACTTATTTCCAAGTGAAACTGAGCATCAGACCCAGACTGTTTTAAAGTATTATTTTTGTGCTGGGAACTTTTCCATTGTAAATGGTGGAAATGAAGGCAGAACATTTGAGAATGGTTGCATAACTTCAACCAGCTGCTACCGTGGTTGGCATCAAGTGGAAGAGTTTCAAAAATGAGTCTCTAGATCGTCTGAAATGCCACTTTCAGAGTTTTCTCTACCTATTTTCGCAAGGCCCAACATGCAACAGGGGTCGAAATTTAAATTTTTTTGTACTATACAGCCAGAATAGTCGATTTTTATATTTACTATTCCATCTGAAGATCCACTATTCCTTAATAATGTTTCTGAGAGCCCGTTCATGCAGGGTCCGTGCTAATGTTCTGATTTTTACGAAATCATCCTTGAGACTCCTAAAGTGGACTGAATAATTGAATAACAAAAAATAAACATCAGGGTTTTTTCCGGATTTTCTCTTGGGTCCGTTTTTGCAGAGAAGATTGAGTTTAGGGGGCTGACACTTGTACTCAATAACTGTAGTTGAGACGGAATGTGTTAAAGCAGGGGCACTGAGGGACACTATAAACTGGTTAAAGATGGCGAATGCATAGTTTTTCTTGTGTTGTGAGATGAATTCCAGCCATTTTTTCTTAATTGTCGGGTTTCCAACTGAAAACAAATTTCCACACGTCACAAATTTAACTCAAACAACTTCATTTAAGTTTCAAAACTCAATTCAAGATTGAGTTTTTGGGGCCGTTTAACGGCCCTAAAAAATCCCTGAAAAAAAGCCTGAACATGTACAGTGCATTGCTCTGTACAGTGATGAATACATTATTAAATTAATAAAAAACAAAGTTCAAACACTGAAATAAACTTGTGAATTTTGTTGCGAAGTTCGCTCCCAATTTTCGAACTTGGAAATTACGTAAAAGTCCAGACACACCGGACGCGATTCGACAACGCGACACAATTTTTTAGTTTTTGAAAGTTAATAAAACAGCCAATGAGAGCAAATTTTGAAAGATATGTAGACCAAATAACTCAAAATGTTATAGCGCTTCTAAATATTTGGAAAATTTAAACTAGGATCAAAGTTATCGGTCATTGAAAATCGAAAAATTGTGTCGCGTTGTCGAATCGCGTGTATGGACCTTTATTGTCAAGTTCGCAACGAACTTGGGAACTGCGCTTGATTCCCACCACTGCGTGATTGATTCCCACCGTGCCCGGTATGGATGCACACTCTGGAGTAACATCACAAACATCAAATAATTAGTTCATCAAAAATATGCAGATTTTGTAGGATTTTCTTGAAAATGCACAGACAGAAATTCAGTTAAAATTTCTGTGCGTTCCCAGTGCAGGCCAAACTTTACAGTCTGGCATCAGACATCATCATACATTAGGACTGTTTGGTATACCGATATACCGAAAATATCGGTATTAAATCAATATCGGTATATCGATACCGGATATTCAACCATACCGATATTCAACCATACCGGAATTTTTCTGTATACCGTGTTAAATTTACCAACTATATGGCGAAACCATAACCTTTATTTTACTACTGAATGGCAATTCAAAGAACTTTCTACTGCAATCATTTAGAATTTCCACTTCAGTGAGATTTTACACCGAGTATGTGCATGTCGTTCGAAACATGTTCGAAACAGCTTCAAAATTATCATTTCCCTTTTAGAATTACTCAAAATTTCCTTCAAACTTCCATTAAAGAATTTTCCTTTATAATTATCAATGGAAAACCGGTATACCGATAATATCGGTATAATTTTTTTGGTATACCGATACCGGAAATTTCTCATACCAAACATTCCTATCATACATATGTCCGACCAAAACTCTCGATCGGTGCACATTGCACAATAGGGTAAAAAGGTATTAGGTCAGGCTTCTGATTGAACTCAAGAAATATATTCATGTGCAAAACAGGGGATATGGCCTTCACATTTTTAAAGTAGGGTCACTTAAAGGGTTAATATCGATTGATCTCGATTTTCATCGATTATAGATTTTATTGATCTCGATTGTTTAATGGTATAAAATCATAAAATGGGAATACGAGAATATTTATGTTTTGATTTTCATGTGAAACGTTCCATACAGTCACTTCAAGAACGATGATATAACATGATTTTTTCTGTGTTGGTATATAAATGTACTCAAGTCAATATGATGCTTGTGATGTTTATACTTCTTGAGTGTATATCCACACCGGGCAAGCTTGAAAAATATGCCTGACACGGTGGGAATCGAACCTACGACCTTTGGAATGCTAGCCCAATGATATAACATTTTTATACATCTACTGCAAAATATTAATCACCTCATATAATTCATCATCTGAATCTTGGCTTTCACTTTCGGAGATCCGAACCATTTTTGGAAATTTCAGCCACAAAAGGGTCTCAAAACACAACAAATTTTTGAATCGATCACACAATCATTCCTTATTTAGTTATTTGACTAAAAAGTTCACTCCCCCCGGTTTTAGTGTTCTTCCGCATTCCAACATTCCTTCGCATCAACACTCAAACATTCCTTAGTTTTCCCAAAAATTCCTTTAAAAATGTTCTAAAAATGCTTAAAACATCTGCAAATTCCTGTTTTAAAGGATCGCTGCTACTCCCTCAATCTCGTACCCAGAGTATGCCCGTTCGCAGGTTAGGTGCTGGGCATGACTCTGGAGAAACGGGATGAAATTATCAATTTCATTGGCTGGCGTGAGATCAATAACACCGATACCGGAAATTGGTGTTCAAGTGCGGGAATTACACGTGGAAATTTACGAATACGACGTAAACAAAGTCGAAATTGCATTTATTTGCAAGATTTCAAATACAAGTTAATTGTTACATTTAATCTGATTGAGGATTTATACGTACGATCTGTACACTTTTGTATCTTGTATTATGGCAAATACTTTTTGTTTGTTTATATATAAATTACCGATATGATGTAACAAAATATTTACTTCAATTCAATTGCGCTAGTGATCGCCAGTGTTGGGATTTTGGCTTGTTCTGGACCTGTGTTTGCCGTTTGGAAATATGGCGCCAGCATTGAATTTTTGTGTGGATATAAGACTCTACTTTTGAGTATACCATAATATTCTTGTAACTTTATAAATATATGAAAGTATTAAATTATGTGAGCTATGGATCTGTTACAAATACATCAAGGCCATATTATAGTAGTGGAATATTCGATGAAAGTAATAATTTTATCTCGAATTTTATAACAAACCTACTGTTAATTTAAGCCCTCCACACCTCTCAAATTGAGATTACAAGCTATAGTTTCTAGACTCCATGCCTGAAATAAATAAGCTGCTTGGCCAGCTTGGGGCTTAACAGAAAATAAACAGGACAGCAGTGTAGAGTGCAAACCACTCTCCCATTTCTGAAAGCCTTTGGATGATACAGCATCCATGAAAGCATAGGTTGGGAATAAAATAAGCTATAAATTGCCAGAATTTTGAGGTAAAATTTAAAGGACTGAGATTTAGAGCACCATAAGGTGTTCATGTTGTGGCAACCGAATGCCTTCCCACCAAAAGTATCTGCTACTGCAGTAAGAGCACACAATTTGATTTGCTGAAATTATATATGCTAACAATGTCAGTATGGCTACGACTAGTGGTGTAGTCCTGGAATGTTAACAAGGGGGGCTCTCCAACAGGGGCAAAACTTCTGTATTATGGCTGGGGGGGAGGGGGGTGAGGTTAACTTGTTTTGCCTGACCAAAAGGGTTGTTTCCAAAGTCATTCCTGAAGGACGAACATTTGCTCAATCGCTAATTAATATTTCTTTTCCCAAAATTGTTGGTGAGTGGGGAGCATTTTTCACTACCACTTTTTCCTACCACTATTACTTTTCAATCTGAGACACTCAAATATTTTCAAAATTTGCCCGACTAAATTGTATGGGTATACCCGATGAGATAGAGACAGGGGGTGTCACCCCTCCACACACCCCCCCAGGTAGTTTTGTCCCTTTTCTCCAAAAGTGTCCTAAACTGGTGGAGGGGGGTGGCCTAAGTCCCCCAGAACCCCTCCCCTACTAGACCACTGGCTATGACAATGCCATAGTGGCAGCAGGTCATCCCACATGTATCTTACATTCCGCCTGCAACATTATATAGTTAACGTACAATACATATTTAATGGGAATAGTAGCTAGTTACCTTGACTTGGCCATATACCGGTTGCAGGCATACATCAGCACATGTAAGTTATGATTTATCTCCCAGGGATATGAAGCAATGTCAGGAGGTCAGGGTAATGTAGCTTACCCCATAACCCCAATAATGGCAGATTTCCCAATCAGTGCCCCCAGTATTCGGATAGGCAATTTAGCAACACCCTGCCTTGCCTGCCACCTTTCAGACAGGCACCCAACCTGATGACATCAGTCTGTGTTACAATTTAAACCCATAGATAGGTCTCCTATATCTATGGTTAAACCCAATAGTTATGATAAATGATAATATTATATCAGCAAAAACATTTCAAAGTTCAAACACTATGTCATAATTCCATTTAATTAAGTTATTTTCAAGCATAATTAATTGTCAACATAATTTTTTATGACTCAATTAATAAATAAATTAAATAGATATAACCATGGAACTGTTTGTATGAATGTAATGCAATGTACAATGCAGTGCCGTAGCCAGAACGATAATTGGGGGGGGGCACATATTCATATATTCGTGTTCACATACCATAAAAACAATTGATTTCAAAAGAAATTAATAAAGCAGAACACGAATATATGAATATGTGCCCCCCCCAATTATCGTTCTGGCTACGGCACTGGCACAATGTTAAATCAAAGAACAAAGGAATGATATAGCTAGAGTATTAACAGAGGAAGTATTTTGATTCATGCTTATTTTAAATATCAATACAATGCACCAATTAAAGTATCACTGTGATTGTAATAAACAAAATAGGCTAACAGGTCCACAATTGCCCATAAAGCATTCTACATATTTTAATATTATAAAAACATCTAATAGTTTGTAATAATCTAGATCCTCTATAAAACCTCTGTCAGTGGCCATCTTGCGAAGTCTCTCGATACCATTTCTTGACCGTATAAAATCCATAAAAATGATTGGTTTATATACACCGCATATATATTTACTCTGTAACTTTTAGCACAAGAAAATGAATCTTTTTCAATTGATTTCAATGTAAAAAGTATCAAATTTTCGACTGAATTCTACGATTTTATTTATAATTGCAATTAATGACGCCCGCCCGAATTCAGTGTTGCGGTTTGAGCGTGAGCATGCGCACAACTAACCGGATATCCAAAATTGGATATCCGGTATTCCGTTTCTCCAGAGTCATGCCCAGCACCTAACCTGCGAACGGGCATACTCTGGGTACGAGATTGCTACTCCCTGAGAAACACGTTGTGGGAAACGAGCAACCTCGTACCCAGGGCCTTTGCGCGGTTCAGAGGCTCTGGTACGGGAAGCAAAGGCCCTGGTAAACACTGGTCACGTGTGTCCAAAAATATTGGACATTTCGTAATAATTTAGTTTTCAATCCGGGGGGAGCGGAGCCGATTGATTTTGCCAAACATGGCAGCGGGAAGGCGCGACGTTTTCGAGTTTTATTAGTTTACGATAAATAAAACTTTCCTAGTGAGATTTAAAGTGGGTACATATTAAAACTATGCATTCTACGAGCTTTCTTTCAACAAATTGTGGAATAGCGAACGGTAATACTTATCAAAGATCGAGGATCAAACTGAGAGAAAACTAGTCGAGTGTAAACTGTCTATTTTGTATCCATGCAGGCTGATTGTGTGCGACCTTTTATAAAGAATTAAATAAACATTGTTGATTAATAATGATTATAAGTAATTTTTACGTATTGACCAAAGAATATCACTTGGGATTTTATTGTACTTTCATGGAAGGATACATAATTATATACTCAAGTAAATATGTGCCTGTATAGTGAAAGGGACATATATGGAAACGAAATTCTTCATGTGTACACATGTAGTTATCAAAGCAGAATATTTTGACAGTGACTGACAGATTGGTTTCCGTATGTATGTAGTTTAAAATACAGTTGTGAATGAAATTATACATAGTATCTTGAAACCTTTGTGTGTGAGTTAATTTCATATTTATTTTTTGGGATGTTTATTACTCATTGTCTGGAAGAAGGGGGGGGGGGTGGGGGTACCAATCATGACAAATAATATCCAGTGGTCTTGACATATGAAAAATATTAGAAGACTTCAGGGACTTCATCTAGATGGCAATATATTGGCATTCACCTATGGCAATATCACACAATATACCGAGAATGCAGCCATGCCGGGATGGATTTTTACTGGGGTGTGTGGACCCCCTTGCCAGAGGGGGTGCTATTTTTTATGATAAAGCAAAAAAGACAACATGAGATTTGAGTAATAACAACAGTAATTTGAGTAATAACATGATAAGTGAACTGTGAACAACAACTACAATTCAAATACAGTAGTTTGTTGATGGGCGGGCGGCACACATGACCGACACAACTCTGCAATCGGCCCCAGAGCACCCCCCCCACTATCCCTGCACCCATGCAGGTTCAGCCTTCTCAGCACAATTTATCAAGTCATACATATTCATTACTGCCAATCTATTTATTATTTATGTCTCATTACAATTGGTATGTACAATATATTTTCATTATCTTGTGCATCACCAGTATCATCACAACT